TGATCAGCAGTGATTGGACACAGCTGATCACATGGTAAAGGGCTGATATGATTGGCCCTTTACCTCGATCTATGATCTGCTGTGTCCAAAGGACACAGCAACCACAGGGGCCAAGGTTCTGGAAGGACATCTATAGAGGCACCTCCCCCCAGAACTAGACAATCGTGCTGTAGCCGTCATTTAGCTATAATGCGGTCAGCAGGTAGCTAAAGTATGTCTATCACATATCCAGGCAGTTTAAAATGAGTATGGAAAAAGAAGATGAGCAGGAAATAACCTTTAGTACATGTCATAGTGACCAGTAAATCCAAAGTTATAAGCCTCTGAAGATTTATGCAGATCTCAACTTCTCTTGTAAAAAACTGAGCTTGTCATCTCCGACCTCCCAAGACTTTATATTGGTCAATATGGAACAAGCTGCCCCAATAACCCGCAAGGAGCTTAAGAGAGTCAGGGCATGTGCGATTCGTTTAATTTTGATTCGTTTTTCGAACAAAACTATCATTTTATGAGATTCATAGATACCTGGTTACCAGTATCACGTGATTAGCTATAGCCAATCACAGATCACAAACAAAGGCAAGCTGTTTTCGAATGGTTAACTCATTCATGCCATTGTACATACTGTTAAAATGGAATACTTAAGCACTAATATCCCTCAAAAAAAGGTCTAGGAAATGGGATATGTATCCCTAACCCTCCAGTCTCAAAGTTGTGGTTACATGGAGATGGAGGTTCAGCCAAAAAACAACAAAAAAGTAATGGAAAGGACTTTTGGATAATGTGGCCCTGTACTGCGATGAGTAAAAAATCCCTCAGAAAACAAATACAGGAGGACGCCGCATGAAAAGTATATGTACTTCTTGGCTATAAATGGTGTAACCAACCCACTGCAGTTAAGTAACATCCAAATGGGTTTCCCAATTGTTATGGCAATATTTTGAACAATTCCTCTAACAGCTGGCTAGCCCTACAACCATATTACAAATGCTGCAGAAAAGGTAGAAACCAGCAAAAAATGGGGTTTAGAGAGCCGTTAGGGTGATCCATAAGGCTGTCCCCTCTATTCACACAGTCTCCATCCCCCAAAAACAAATCAAATACAAGATCTAAAAAGACTAAAAGATCAATTGGCTAAAACCTCTTAAGAACCTCCCCTACTATCCAACGGGAATAATAACATGGTCAGTCACCATCCTATTAAAATCATGGATGTTATCTAACTGCAGTGTGTTGGCCATTTCTAGCCAAGAGGTATATATACTTCTCATTAAAGTAAGGAGTGAAGAGCCGACAATTCGTCCATCTGAAGAATTACTTTATCATAGCGAGTATACAGGTAAAACTGGCTTACGCGTTTCAGCAATACTCTTTAATCATAGCCATAGTCATGGCTTTGAAAGGGCAGTTACCGACTCTTCACTCCTTGCTTTCCAATTGCTTCAGTGTTGGGAAGACACTTTGAGAAGGAGCACCGTTAGTCCGCCTCTGTGGGGAGTCCATCTGGATGTAGTATCTTTCTCTTTGTATATTTTTCATGTGGCGTCTGTTTTTTTTCCTGAGGGATTTTTTTTACAGGACCACATTATCCAAAAGTAATTTTCATTTCTTTTTTGATGTTTTATGGCTGAACCTTCGTCTCTATGTAACTACAACTTTGGGACAGGAGGGTTAGTGATACATATCTCATCCTCTAGTCCTTTTTTGGATGGAGATAAGTGCCTAAGTATTCCATCCTAATAAAAAAATATGTAAAACAGTGACAGTGTGTGTGGCAAACTTGCTCATCAGAATTGGAGCGGAGTTCCCCCTCAACCCTCGTTTTCGTGTTCTATCTGTTATCTGAGGCATTTCTCAAATCACTCCTCACATCCCCCCTGCATTCCTGTGAGGCAAAGGTTATCTTCTGGCAGATGGTGTGGGGGACAACCAGGAAGACATGAGAAGTGGAGCCAGCCAGTCTACAAAGGTGTCACTTTTATCACCCAAAACTATGTAGGCCCACTCATTATCAAACCAACCAGAATAAGTGCACAGTCCTCAGATCAACTGTATGGTTCATATCACGGGATATGAGCTAGTAATTTAGTGTAGATTTCCCCAATGACCACTCCCAAAATGGGTAGTCAGAGCCCCCCCTTCCCCTGAGAGGGACCCTTTAAGACTTTTAAGTGAGTTAGAGAGACTCTGTGACACACACAGGGATCTCCGAGCAACATCGTAACAGAGGAGATCAAAGAACCTTTCGGCTCACAACTTGAATTTGCTAAAACCAGGCAAGGCAAGTAACTTACCCTGTATTTTCTCGCTATTCTGTTTGCTGTGTCTTTGTATACATAATATATATATTCTTGTGTCATCTCTGTAACTATTTATTTGCATCTGTTTGACTCTGTTAGAAATAAATCTTTCTTTCTGAAAGTGTTAAACTGTTTCTAAGCACTTACTTGCAATTCACGAATCCCTGCCTTTGAAGAGACGCTACGGTTTGTCATATATCTCTGTATAGCAAGGTCCGCGGGCCGTGCTATATAGACCAATATTTCAATCATTATAGTGTATATTTAGTAACGGGAGTTTCCCAGTCTCCGATAAAAGTGGTGGTGGCAGTATAGGGTTAGTTGCGTAACTAACCTGACCCAGTAACAAACGCATCCAGGCTGCAGGCACCGATTGTAGTCCATTAGCTGGGCAATCGCTGTGTAGGGTGCAGCTGGGTGGGGCCTTGTTACGCGCGTCACACCGCGGTTTTGGATCGGCCGGCCCTTCGGTCACGAGTTTGGTGAGAAGGTCTGGGGTCTGACGCCGTGGGCGTGACGTATTACTGTTAGTCGCGGCTGTGCGATTGTCGCCTGTTGGTGGCGGTGACCGCGGGTCGTGACAGTGTGTGCTACCAAAAACAAATAAACCAAATACAATTGAAATTATGAGAAAACTAATAGTGTTGCTGCAACCGCTGATAAGTGATCCCACACCCCCAAGAATATCACACGATTGATTCCGGATCACTGGAGTATATTTGTTGGGTGAAGCACAGAATTAATTGTTTGGATTACTTCCACATTATGGATATGATCTATTTAAAGGACACATTGATTATTTGAATAATATTCAGTTTATGCATGTATTTGAGATGTTTTACTGAGCAGTGCAACACATTTCATTATTACATCATATTTTATAATTTATTTTATTTATTTCAAGTACTTATATAACGCCATCAATTTATGCAGTGCTTTACATATATATTGTACATTCACATCAGTCCCTAACCCTTAAGGGGCGTACAATCTAAGGTCCCTAACTCACATTCATACATACACATACTAGGGACAATTTAGACAGGAACCAATTAACCTACCAACATGTCTGTGGAGTGTGGGAGGAAACCGGAGTACCCGGAAGACACCCAAGCAGGCATAGGGAGAACATGCAAACTCCAAGCAGGAAGTGCCGTGGCTGGGATTCGAACCAATGACCCTAGTACTGCCAGGCGGAAGTGCCAACCATTTAGCCACTGTGCATCCTAATAGTATGTACAAACAGACACAAAACAATCCTACCATTAATTTAAATCCTAATAAAGATTAGGTCCTTGGTCCTCCTATTGACGCTTTGGTGCATTGAAATACACACCACTATTTCCTTGCCATGCCACTTACTAATACCTCAGACTGTCTTTTTTCCAAAAAGGGGTCATTTGAGGGATATTTATACTGTCCTGGCATTTTAAGGGCCTCAAGAAAATGAGACCACCAAAATACATTTTCGTTGTGTGAAATTACATACATTTAATTTGGGTAGTGTTGCATGACCGAGCAATTGCTAGTTAAAGTAGCACAGTGCCAAATAGTAAAAAATGTCCTGGTCATGAACAGGGTAAAACCTCCTGGAGCCCAAGTTGTTAAACACATACCCACATATAGTTATACTCTATATGTGGATACCTTTCTATTTAGGGCTGGGTAGTGCACAATGTTTCTTTGTTTGTTTTGTTCCTTGGTTTATTTGTGTTTCTCATCAGTACCAAACAAACATTTTCTCTATATAGATGATGCACATAAAAGAGGAATAATAAGCCATTGTGTCGACACTTTACTTATTAACTATAGCAATATGATTTAGCGGGCTCCCTTTGTTTGATCTTGTAGCACTGAGCAGACAGAGGTTTCTCTAGATGTTTTATTATGGACATAACTTTTCTCTGTTATAATCAGTTGTGCGAAATAGCCGGGAGATGAGAACTGGAGCAGACATTGAGAAGATAAAAAACTGTCTGAAACCAAAGTCCTTCAAAAGTGCGATCATAAACTGCATGATAATCTGTTTGTACTGCTACAAATAGTAACAGGAACAATGAGCGAGTGTAACGTGTGGCCTCAATGTGCAGAATTAAAGGAATAAATAGACTGGGCAGGGGCAGACTGAAAACTCATGGGGCCCCCGGGCAATAGGGCATCATTGGGCCCCTGTGTCCTTGTACAAACTCAAAAAAGCCTATGAAAAAGGTACCAGGGGCATCCCATGGGGCCCCAAATGCACACGCGATCTGATTCTAGTGCGAACCAAAAAAAGGGTCCTGCACCTTTTTTGGTGCGAATGTGGTGTGATTTGAGCCATATAAAATGTATGACTCAAATCACACAGCACAGAATTTGCATGTGAGTTGCACAGGGATGCAGTTCGGTTCCTGTGCAAATCACATGTGATATGCCGCACCGCACAAGTGTGAACCCAGGCTAAAAAAGGATATTAAAGTTCATGCAAAATTGTGTGACAAAAGATCATGAAACAAACTAAGATATGACTGCCTAACATATACACTTAAAGCAGTATTAAACTACCGACAAATATTATAGTATCTATCTATCTATCTGTCTATCTATCTATCTATCTATTGTCTATCTATCTATCTATCTATCTATCTATCCATTTATTTGAATATATATCTATAAACACATAGCAAAACTAATTGTGAAAAAGAATATTACATATCATGGGCAGGGGCGGACTGACCATTTGGAGAACTCGGGCACTGCCCGAGGGCCCGGGGTCAGTAGGGGGCCCCATGAGATGCCCCTGGTACCTTTTTCATAGGCTCTTTTGAGTTTGGGCAAGGACACAGGGGCCCCATGATCCCCTATTGCCCGGGGGGCCCCATGAGTTGTCAGTCTGCCCCTGATCATGGGTAAGGGCACATTAAGCCCATGATAATGTCATCAACATCCCGTTGAAGCATAAGTGTGACTGAAAAGTGAGGCTGAGAAGGGGATCAGACAACAGCACTCCTAGCAGAACACACAGATCTACCTAATGGCTTAATCATGAATAAACTTAGAATATTGTTCTATATTGTACAAGGGCAATAGAACTTGGTTGCTTGTCATGTATTTCAAAAACTTGCTAAGGTCTTCTCAAAAATGGACACCTAGAGAGTATACTAGCCAAGCAGATCAATACTCATGAGTACTTACTGAAGTGCTTACATTCCCATTGCATTCCACTGAAAAAAAAAACATGGTTGACAGCACCTGCTGACCATTGCATTCCCATTGCATTCCACTGGAAAAAAAAACATGGTTGACAGCACGTGCTGACCATTGCATTCCTGTTGCATTCCACTGAAAAAAAATGGTTGACAGCATGTGCTGACTGTCATGTTGTGGCAGTTTTTTTTTTTTTTTTTTTGTGGGGGGGTGGGGGGGGATGAATGATTCATAAAAATTATTGATAAATCACTTTTTTTTTCTCATGAATATTTGCATATAGATCTGTGATCATCAGTGAACTGTGTAGTTTACAGATCTGGGCTGTTATGATTTGTGAATTGTTTGCAGATTGGAGAAGTCTTTGTATATATTGTAATATGGGGAACAGGGGCGGAATGACCATTTGGAAACTCGGGCACTGCCCGAAGGCCCGGGGTCAGTAGGGGGCCCCATGAGATGCCCCTGGTACCTTTTTCATAGGTTTTTTTTATTTTGGGCAAGGACACAGGAGGGGCCCCTGATCCCCTCCATGAGTTGTCAGTCCACCCCTGATGGGGAATCTAACTCAGTGGTAGTAGCGTTTAGTCTAGTGAGTTCTCAATAGTCAGAACTGTGTTTCAGGGGTTGGCAACCCACGTTTTTTAACCACTTCCCACCGGAAGTACGCATTTATGTGGCCTCTTATTAGGTGGGCTTCAATGTAGAGAGGCTATGGTCCTATTTACAGTAAACAGTTTTCTGTGCTGAGAGTGCGTGTCTTGCATGCTGCCAGCACAGTTACCGGTGGGAACCAGAAACTAATGCATACTTGCATTCAGGAGCTTTTTGATCATGTGACCGCTGTGGCTGCCAATCACAGCTGTCACATGATTGGAATGCCTACCTTTACCTCTCAGCATTTAGATCCTCCTAAAGGGGCTGGGAGGCAGCAGCGTGAAGGGGTGAAGAATAATGTAAGGGTCCATGTACACTGGTCTTAAAAAAAACGCATATTCTTTTGGCAGAAAAAAACACTCATATAGAACGTTTTTGTACAGGGGTTTAAGAGCGTTTAGCGTTTTTTTTTTTTCATCCAGAAAACTCTCAAACCAGAAGGGGTTTTTTCTGCCTCTAAACATCCTAATGTGCATGGACACATAGGATAATATTAAGCTTCTTCTACAGGCAAAACGCAAAACTGCTGTAGAAGCAGCATTTTTTTAAGCCCTGTACACATGGACACTAAAGGCTTTTACATCAGGATTCCCAAACAGAGGTTTCAATTTCAAAAACCATTCAAAGCAAAAATAGGAAAAGGACATAATAATACCAGGCTTCCTAGCTCAGGCCATTTTGCACACACAGTTTATCTGTGTCAATGTGCCTTTCTCAGAGCTCTCCAAGCTCTCTCAGTCCTCAGAGACTTCTATGTTCCCTTAGTTTGTAGACTTGTTTAGTCATCTCAACTCTCTCAGGTCTCAAGACTCTCTCAGTCCTCTAGACCAGTGGTCTCCAAACTGTGGTCCAGGGGCTAGATGTGGTAAAAAACGAGTAATTCTGGCGCACAGGAGTAAAGTAGTATAAGGGTGAAAAGGATAAAAATTATAAAATTATAAAGTAAGAAGTAAAAGATGATAATGGCAATATTGGCATACAAGTACTAAAACAGGGTATGTAAATACATAGGTGTACAATAAGTCCTTATAAGAGTCTCTCAGGCAATTTGCCTGGAAAACTTTCAAGCACAAAAAGATGGCAGCCATCCTTGGAGCAAGCCAGCTCTGTATGCAGGGACAGAAGAAAAGAGACAGGAGGTGCCCATTTGAGTGTAGTAATAACACTGTATAGAGATGGTGAGAGACACTGTAGTGGTCAATCCTTCAGAATGTGGTGTTGTAGAGCCGATCCAGCGGCCAATAGAAGGAGCTAGAGGCTGCGAGCGCATAGCCTGACTTTCCCACGTCTGTGCTCTTCCTCCCCACTGACCCTCTTCCTGTGATGTCACATCCTGCTGGAGTGTTCCATGCTGGTTACTAGGCTCCTTCCTGCACAAACGCCACTGAATCAGCTCTACAACACCACCATTCTGAAGGATTGACCACTACAATGTTCTCAACATCTCCATTAGCCCAGCTGCTATTGCACCAACCACCGGTGGCGCCTGCAGGATGTTTTGAGGAATGGTCATCTCTCATATACACAGATGAGCTTGTTTTATTATTTCCTTTGTGAGTGTTTTTAATCCTTTGCTATTAAATACAGTGTTATTACTACACTCAGACAGGGGCTAGATGTGGCCCTTTGCTTCTCTTTAACTGGTCCTTGGGGCATTATTCCTCCCACTGATATGAGACACTATTCTTCCCATTGACATCAATAATAAGGTATAATTTCTGCCGATTTGTAACAATGGGGCACTATTCTTCCAACTGACACTAATGACACCACTGACACCAATGATGAGGCACTATTCCTCTATATAATACAAAAGATGAGACACTGTTTACGCCCACTAATGCCAGGAACATTTTTGCTCCTACTGGCTACAGTCAGGTCCTCTTAAAGTCTTAGGGACAGTAAACTGGCCCTTTGTTTAGAAAGTTTGGAAACCCATGCTCTAGATTCTCTCAGTCGTCTCGACTCTCTCAGGCCTCTTTAGAAAAAATGGGAGGGTGATATTTCTTACTGGTCTTTTAAGGCAGAGATGACAATCATGTATATTTCAATAAAAGGCTAATATGCCAAGTTTATACAAAAAGATACACAAAGTATACAAATACACTACATTACCACAGAATACTGTATCAATTTTGTTACATAAACACAGCTAAAAGATATTAAACGCCCATGTGTCTGTAATATATAAAGAAAAAATTTGAATATGCCTGTTATGGCTTAGATTTTAGCAGAGACATCAGGCCCAAACCAATGCGTTTCATAAAAACTTCCCTTGCAAAGTGAACATCCTCTATTCCTTTAGTAAATAAACCCCACCCACATGGAAGAAAAATATATTTGAGATGTAAAAATATTCTTCCAAAATATATTGACATATAGTTGAAATGCTCCAATTTTGTCCATATTCAATATATTAAAAAAAATAAATATAATATATATATATATATATATATATATAAATATATATATAATATATACTGCATGCATTTTTATATACTACAAAATATATGAAAAATATTTTTTTTAAATATATTTTTTTAAATATATTCTTCAAATGTATTTTAACATATCAAAAAGTAATCTTAACATATATTTTACATATATTTGTAAATGCATTCCAAAAATGTAGATTTGTATTTTTAAAGACATACAGTATACTTGAAATGTATTTTTAAAAATATTTTTCATATATTTTGTAATAAAAACGCATTTCAACATGCAGTTTATATATATATATATATATATATATATATAGATATATATAATTGAAATATATATTTTAAATATATTGAATATGTCCAAATTTGTAGCATTTCAAATATATGTCAATGTATTTGGGAAGAATATTTTTAAAATATATTTCAAATATATTTTTCTTCCATATGGGCATAGAGTCAAAATTGGCAATTTTTAAGTTTCTGCTTGTCCCAGTCAGTTTACTCAGTGCAAGTTGCTTTTCTTGTTAGACCTTTCACCTCCCTCCTAGGAGAGTGACAGTTGCACCAGTTGTTAAGCAGAAGCTTCAAGATCTGAATGTATACAGGCGGATGACTTGGATACAGGCAGCTGAAATTAAGTTGCTATCTCATTTTTCATGTATAAAAAAATGCTTTCAGGTTGCCTTATTGTAGAGAAGTGATAGTTACAGATTGGTAACATTGTAATTGTGACAAAAATATGAACATATTTAAAATGAAAGGTGTTTTTTTTTGTTTGTTGTTTATATACTATTGCATTATGTTGCCATGCTCATTACTTTAATTAACCAAAAGTTTTCCTATAACATAACAAAAAACCTGCAAACACCAACACAGAACTCATTTAAAACAAAGCTTATACAATTCCCTAGTCTCTTGTCTTTGCATATATTAATGAGAACTAATGTCTGTCGTTGCTATAGAGACTGAAATCAGTGTTCTGTTGTGTTACTGCAAGCGATGAAGCACTCACTGTATTACTGTATAATACTGGAATCTAGAGAATTCAATTTAACAAGGAAGCATCACTTATATGTTTAATAAGATAGTATATTTCACCCAGGGACTACAGTACCTCATAGGCATCTGAAAATGAGTTATGCTTTTAGTATTTTATTAAACCATGCTATAAAACTCTACATCTGGAGAGATAAATCAGTGTTTTCATCTTGAAGCAAAAGGTATTCACATGATTCTCATCACTTTTTTCAAAGTTGTATAATTGTCAATATCAAAATGCACATTAAATGCCCATTGAACCAAATTGTGATCAAAATGCATTTTTTATTCCTACATATAAGTCTGTTTTATGAAGTATGATCATTCTGGAATGTAAAGGTCAAAATCTAATAGGTAGGATAACCAAATGCACAAGGTACGAGGGCTATACACAATGCAATGTAAAAAGTTAGCATCATTTTTTTATTACCTTACATAGGTCACTCAAATTTCCCATGTTGGTAGATTTACATGTCAAAAACAGATAGGAAAAGTGAGCGCTAGATAAAAAGCTGCTAAGCGCCAATAAGTACCAAAAGACTTAATAAAAAAGACATATAAGAAAGGGCGCAGCGCTAAAATAAACTAATTAAAACATACAAATGTTAGTAATGACAATGTGCAAAGAACTGTGCATGTGAAGCAAAAAAGTCCTCAAAAAACTCAATGGTGACTTGAAACACGTGCGTCTTCCGGTGATCAAAGTAGTAAAATTATGCACTCACCAGATGCATAATTCACATATGCATATAGTAGATGGTATCCCGATATCCAAGCGAAAATAAGTCTTAGGCGGATAGGGTCATCATCCGGATACATCAATGCGTCCAAGTTTCTCCTCATGGATCGTGTGTTTCCACACTGGAACACCCCTCCTGTCCTTAGGTAACTCTGCAAGTGAAGGACTCAGCAGGGTCCCAAGAAAGAAAGCCAGGATGGTGTGATATCGTTTAAATAAATTTAATGATCCAAAATAAAGACAAGGACTGCATATACAAAAATTAACCATATAGGTATAATAAAGATGGCCACCGCTCCATGCGGTGGCGTAATGTCTGGGATATGCTGCTCTTACCCTGACGCGTTTCTGCCATGTGAACGTATTCATAGGGAGTTGTGTCAGCTAACCAGACATCTGCTGTCCTATATTTGATCACCTTGCGCTTTTTATTTTTGGCGCTGTAAATGTAGTCACACTGAAACACTGTGCAAATTACGTCAGTACGAATATACTAGGCTAGCTAAGCCAATAAGTGAATCCGTGGTTACCACCAATCCAGCGGAGAACTGAACAAAAAGTTCTTTTTTGTTCAGTTCTCCCGCTGGATTGGTGGTAAACCACGGATTCACTTATTGGGCTTAGCTAGCCTGTATATTCGTCCTGACGTAATTTGCACATGTGTTTCAGTGTGACTACATTTTTCACAAGCCAAAAATTAAAAAGGCACAGGTGATCAAATACCTAGGACTTGGAGCAGATGTCCTGGTTAGCTGACACACTTCCCTATGAATACGTGCACATGGCACGAAACGGTCAGGTTAAGAGCAGCATATCCCAGACATTACGCCACCGCATGGAGCGGTTGGCA